ATCAACATTAAAACTTTTACGATGTATTTAGAAGAGAGTATTTCAGTATTAGGTATTTTGTTATACTGATACATATTTCTGTTGTGCAAACATATTTCCTGTATAAACGACTATGTCTATAACCTTTTTCAAGGGCATGTAGTGTATATGGTTCTTAATTGCAATCACATTACAACAAGGTCGCATAGCCCCTCTAACAAATCTGCCAAAAGTGTACAAAACATATCCTTAAAGTAATATCAATTTAGTCAAACAATCTCAGTTAGGGAGTAATTTTCTGAATTTATTTATTTCTATAAACACTGAATGCTGCCGACCCTTAGAGAGAAGTCATGCAGTCGTGCAGGGTTGGGCAAAGATACATCAAAATGTATTTTAAAATAAAATACCAAATACCTTCATTTTAAGTGTATCAAAATAAACTATAAAATACAGCAGCCACACCATGTATCAAAATAAACTACAGTATTTTTGTATTTTAAAAATACTAAAAAATACTTTTACAAGGGAGCATGATATTTCTTCGCAAACCTTCCATCAATTGGCCTATTTGATGTATCCCTTCACCATTGCACTGACTCAGATGATTAAGTAAACTATGTTTGATAGCAACAGCTTTTCTCTGCTCGAGTCATGCAATAAATCTGACATATGCAATCAGTTAACAGATCAAATATTCACATATCCCTGTGATCTCCCAGATGAAGGTTCGTTTTAAAGTAACCAACAGTTTAATGTTTAACAGTTTGCGAATGACTCATAATTGTATCCTAATGTAGTTACTTGGTGTTTGGTAACGAAGGGCCTACTTTGCATCAGCAGCACTGACTCAATGACAAACAAGTCATTCATAAGAAGACAACTGACGGCACCTGAATTCATAGCAACAGGTTTCTAACTAATTAATCATTTGAATGATAATCATTATAATATATTATGTGTCAGGTATGCAATGGTATGCAAAATCATGATCCTACTAAACAGCTACTTCAATTAGGGTCCAATATTCAGCAATCAAACATTTATTTATCAATCATTGGACATCTGTTTGGAAGTTGAAAAACATTTTAGCTTTTCAACAATTATTAAATGATCAATATGTTTTGTTTTTAAATGTAGCCAGAAACTTAATCAGAATGTAGCAGCAGAACTTGTCAAGGAGTATTAACCCAACTCCAACCACTGAATCTATTGAGAGATATACTATACTATATACTACCATATACTACAGAGCAGGTATTCCAAAACATTTGAAACGTTCTTACAGAAACAGTCAAACTTATGTGTGAATGTGGGTGAGAAAGTACGTTTGTGTGTGTGTGTGTGAGGGAGTGTATTGAATGAGTGTGTGAGTAGCCTGTGGACTACATTGCAGAGGTCTCTTTAGCTACTGATGCCTTTAAGCACAAGAAGTTTTTCAAAAAGTGTAGCATCGTTGATGGGGCCGGTTGATCAGTCCAGCAAAGGAAAATAACCGCTCTACTGGAGCTGAGGATGGGATGATCATGTTAAACCTCACAAACAAGGTGCTTGGGGATACTGGGGATACTGCTCCAAAGATGTCAAATGCCTCCTTTTGACAGTCAATTAGCACGTTTACATGCACACCAGTAAGCTGATAACTCACAAATATCAGCTTATAAAAATAACCAGTTTTCCCCGTTTACATGCACATCAGTAACCTGACAACGCAAGTAAGCTGCATTTATATGACTTCATTAATAAATCTAGTTATTTCCCTGTAGTGACGTCAAAATATAATCCTTTGCGTATCTGACTCCGAGTATTCCATACATTTGTCAGTTATGATGTTAAATTACGCTTGCAACATGTGGGGAAACTTACAGCTCGTATATTATCCTCTCATGCAGTTATAAACGCAGCATTGTGACTGAACCTCTTCTACTTCTGCTGCACGAGATGAGAACACATTTTTATCATTTTCGGAGTCATGAAAAAGTCTTCTTTTGTGATATATTTTCTTCTTTCTTTACTGCAAGACGTTTGCTCGGTCTAGATGCGCTTAAATCTGCACTAACAATGCGTTCCTGTCACGTATCACACATGCACACTTCAGAAAGCCGACAGAAAGCGGGTTATTGCATTTATATGCCGTGCGAAATCTGAGTAAGAGGCAAAAAAACTACCTGTTGCGACCGGTTTATGCTTACGCCGTTTATGACCTTACTCCGATAAAAGAAAACGGGTTACCGCGTTTACATGACCAAGTGTGTTTTCGGCTTATTAAGCATAATCAGCTTAAGAACGTGCATGTAAACGCACTCATTGAGATCTCGCAATGGAACGAAACTGACTGCAATTGAGATCTCCTAAAGGATTTTATGAGTATATGCTTATTCTGTGCAATATATACTTTTTTGTCAACTCAATTTTTTTGTCAAATTGTCCTTCAACCTTGCTTTAAACTCAAGCTGCTGAGCAGCACAGCAAAAAATAGACTTGATGCCAAAACTGCTGCCGAGCTGCTGCAGCATCCGGTGTAAAAGCACTCATTTGTTAAAGGTCCCATATTGTCAAAACTGAAATTTCCTGGCTTTTTTCATGATAACTGAGGTCTAGGTGCTATGTAACTACCATATAAGTTGGCACCCAACATCACAACAAGATGATATTTTAAGCTCGTTATGTAGCCGAATCTGCGCTGGTTTGAATGGGCCGCCTCCAGTTTCCCCTTTGTTTTTTGTTTTTATTATAATATATGAAACACAGAATGGTCTTTCCAGTTTCCCCTTTGTTTTGCTGCCTCCGGCTAGCGCTGTGACGCCGCTGACCCTAGTTACCTGTGGTTGGCCTGGCCGTGCATCAGTCAGAACACAACAGGCCAATCAGAAGAGAGGCTCATGAATATTAATTAGACAGGCCAAAATCGACCTGTTCTCAGCAGAGCTCCTGAGAGAGGAGCTGTAAAAATATATTGAGATGGTTTTTGGTACTTATACTGCAAATATATATTCTTTAAGGCATCAAAACCTAAAATAAAACTCCAGAAAGGTGTATAATATGGGACCTTTAACATGCATACCCGGCAAAAAACCCGGGTGCGCAGTGTACGGTGTATCAGGCGTCTTCCGTTAACATTCACGCCAATGTGCGTTGTGGTGTGAAACAGGTTTTACAATACACACACACTGCCGTGTGCAGCTCTGCTATGCTCTTTCACACACGGTCATATCCATGTCTCAGAGCGGCTCACAGTAAATGCTCCACGCGAGTTTAGACAATCACACCAATATCTTAGCATTAAAATGTAATGTTGTACAACACTGAAACGCTGTATTATTTTTTTTTTTCATGTACAGCCGACAAACTTAACATAGGCTGAAAGTAGCAAGCTAACGTTAATTGTGGGGCTGCTGCTCAGTATAATAGTTTTCAAGAACATTATGTAAATTGGTAAACTGTTTAGCCTAGGCTACTAAAACGAACACAAACTTAAAAATGATAGCAATTTATGCAAAAAATTGATGGAAAGCTGGCAACCTGCATGTTTCTTACCTTGACCAACTTCTTCCATATGCATCAATTTTCTGTTCTGATCTCAACAAGTCTGGGCAAACTAGCCTATTGAGTAGCACCCATCAGAGGCCGCATTTTTATGATGTTATCATGTAGATTTCTTACAAAGTATTTTACAGTATTTTAAAACTACAAAAATACAAAACACTAAAGTATTTTGATACAAAATACGAAGCCATTTTCATCAACCCTATCAAATACAAATTGCAAAATACTATTTTGTATTTGAAATACGTATTTGAAATAAATGTATCATAAATACTGCCCATCCCTGAGAGTGTCCACCTGCTTGTTTAAATCAGCCACGTGGTCCTCCAGCTGCTTAACTCAATTTTTGCTGCTGGGGTTCGAACACTCCTCCTCCTCCTCTGGAAGCGATGGCTCGTCAAAGACGTCCTGGTCCTCATCGAGGTCCAGGGTTGACACCATTGGTTTGGACGGGTTTGACGCCCTCAAGCTGGCAAGATCTCCCAAGATCTTTTTGCGCTTGCAGGCCCTAATCGCCTCAGATCGGGCCCCCTTGGTGAGCTCTGTGTGGGTTTTGAGGTGGCGGTCCAGGCGGGTGGTTTCCTTCTTGCAGCCAGCAATGGGGCAGGTGCCCTTCCTTATATTAACCCTGCCGGATGCGATGGAGAAAAGGAGCTTTCGCTCCGTCTCGTTGTTCACTTTGTGCATCAAACGCAGATGCAGGCTAAGCTGATGAAACCCTCTGAGGCACAGAGGGCAGTCCTCGACAGGTATGTTTTCTTTTTATCTGTATCTTTCTCACGAAGAGCACAGAGCCAAGACCAATACTAAAGTCAGGGACACTGCGCATGCAGGGGTCACTCATAACCTTCCGGATCCAATTTGCAGTCTGTTTGATCCCACTTTCAGTCTAATACATTAGAGTGCACTTACCAGTCAATTTTTTCATTTTCTAGTCTGTCTCCACGGAGAAAACAGGTAAGCAAGTGAGCATCCCAGTTGCAGCTTATTCAATGGGCGTTCTGTATGGGGTCCGTGGATGCATGTATTCACACATTATATATTAGCACTTAATATTACATTAATTAATGAAACACCTCGACCGAACTTTAACCATTTATTGAACAATTTAAAAAACATTTCTTACGGAACATATTTTAAAATGAAAGAAGAAACTCTTTACATTAACATAAAACGATTTACATTAGCAGTCATTAAAAAACGCCTATAAAAACACACTTTTTATATTGAAACATTACTTTTTTCTGGAACTGGAACTGGAACGTTTTAAACAAAAGAAAAATTTTAAATAAATTGGTGAAAACAATCGTTGGGAAGTCCTCCACCGGATCCATTAGGCCCTCTCTAAATTCCTCTGTAAAACAGACAATCAGGTTAGTCTACCATCAACTGCAACATTATAAGAAATTAGATTATAAACTAATTCTTACTCAGAAAATCTATCAATTTTGCATCCACTGCAGGTGGGGCAGATGATGCCGTGGATGAGGCTGCAGCAGGTGGTGGGGCTGACACCTGATGTGGTGGGAACACCTCAGCTGGTGGGAACAACACCTCAAGAAGTGCCACCTGAGAGAGAGCATCCTCCACCTCCTGTGTTGGCGCAGCCCCCAGCCCAGATGGTGGGACCCGGACTTCTGGTGGTGCGGCCTCCTCCAACTGGGGTGGGTAAGGCCCAATTCATATGGCCTGTTGGCCCCAGACCCGAGAGGGTGGGGCGCAGACCTGAAGAGCCACAGGGGTCTCTGGTGGTGCTGGCGGCGCCGGTGCTGCTCGTGGGGGCCCTGGCCTTGTGTGGTCCACTGGAGGGCCTTCTGGTGGGGCTTCTGCCAGGGACTCCTCCTTCTCCTCATGAAGGCTCGTAGCCAGCAGGACCTTCGGGTCTGTGGGCACGCAGTGCATCGATCTGCTTCATCGAAGCCCTCCACCTCATGGTGTGGAGGGCCTCCATGCGTTTGGCCTTCTGAAACAGAAAATGTTTGTTAACGCTTAAATTACGAATACATGTAAAGGTATTTCACATATTGTTAATTTAAAACATAACTGGTCAAAACTTACCGAGAGGTCATTGCGAGAATTGGTCACATGCCGGTCACTGAACTTGAATGTATTGCCACATATTGGGCAGACCTCATTGAGTAGAAGCACTCTGGAACAGGCCAGCTTGATTAAAATTGCCCGTTCCTCCAGATTAAACACACAGTGTGTGATTCTTAGATGCTGGCGAATATTTGAATAATCCCTACGGCAAAGTGGGCAGTTCACCATCTTGAATGATCTGGAAAATACAGAAAGACATAAAACTGTATAATTTGCATAAGAAAACTGACTCCACAAAGATATTATGTACATAATATTGAAACATCCCATGTGCAATTTATTTGACGGGAGGTTCATAATAGGTTGATGGACATATGTAAATAAAGTTAACAATTCAAAGAAAGGTGTCATTTTTTTACTGAAACCACCTCTACTGTACTCACCACACTCAGCAGAATCCATTCATGTCCTTTTCGTGTCAAAATAGTGTAATCTTTGTCTAAAAATGAATGTCCACGGAACCACTATGAAGGGCCTGCTTCTTTAGGTTTGATTTAAAATAACAGTCATATTGGGGCCAGGGCCTAGGGGCTTCGAATGCTTGACCGTGGGACCCTCAAGTACCCCGTGAAAAAGGGCCAAAGCTCTCAGCGTTTGGGAAGACCTTTAAAAAATCTGCAGAAATATTCAAGGAAAAATACAGACATGTGCTGGCCCCTTTTCTGACTTTTTGACCCCTAAAGGAGGTTGTAGGGTCACCAAACTTTTCCGCCCGATCGAGGGGGTCCCCTTGAGACAAAGATTTCGAATTCGGCATGATCGGAACCCTGCTAGTTGTTGCAGTTAAAACATCCCAATTCCAATGTATTCAGCAGTTTCGAGAACACACATAAATAAAATCTATTTTCCATAAGTATGAGTGATATTGTTGATGAAACCACCTCTACTGTACTCACCACACTCAGCAGAATACATTCATGTCCTTTTTGTGTCAAAACAGTGTAATATTTGCCTAAAAATTTATGTCCATGGAACCACTATGAAAGGCTTGCTAAATAAACTGTAAATGGGATGTTTCTTTATGTTTGATTTAAAATAACAGTCATATTGGGGCCAGGGCCTAGGGGCTTCGAATGTTTGACCTTGGGACCCTCACGTACCACGTGGAAAAGGGCCAAATTCCTCAGTGTTCGGGGAAGACCTTTAAAAAAAATCACCGAAAATATTCAAGGAAAAATACAGACATGCGCTGGCCCTTTTTCTGACCTTTTGACCCCTAAAGGAGGTCGTAGGGTAACCAAACTTTTCCGCCTGCTAGAGGGACCCCTGACGATACGCAAATGGCGCCCTCTAGCCGATCGGCCCTTTCACTAGGCTAAACCCATTCGAATAAGTGGCAAGTGGGATTTATTCAGAAAGGTCCCAGGGGCCCAAAACTCGGCACGGTGGCCCTGAGCGACGTCCCAAAGGCGCCGGGCCCTAGAGCCAAGGGAAAAGTTTGAGGTCTTCTGCACAGAATCTCTCCCTCAGCCCTCTTTGTCTCTTGCACAGTCAGAGCATTTCGAGTGCTTTCATGCTTAAGGAGAAGTGCTTTTGTTCGGAAGGTAGTACGGTATCGTGCTTCGGGGTCGTGAGCGAGGGGCCCCTGAGATGTGAGAATCTCGGATCTTTTGGCCCTATGTGCTATGGTCTCCGAATGGGGGATGTCCCTCTCCCCATTTAAGCGCTTTTTTGAAATGGGGTCAACATTTTTCTATGTACACAAAAGGCCTATTTCTCTCAAATATTGGTTACAAATCTGTCTAAATCTTAAATTACGAATACATGTAAAGGTATTTCACATATTGTTAATTTAAAACATAACTGGTCAAAACTTACCGAGAGGTCATTGCGAGAATTGGTCACATGCCGGTCACTGAACTTGAATGTATTGCCACATATTGGGCAGACCTCATTGAGTAGAAGCACTCTGGAACAGGCCAGCTTGATTAAAATTGCCCGTTCCTCCAGATTAAACACACAGTGTGTGATTCTTAGATGCTGGCGAATATTTGAATAATCCCTACGGCAAAGTGGGCAGTTCACCATCTTGAATGATCTGGAAAATACAGAAAGACATAAAACTGTATAATTTGCATAAGAAAACTGACTCCACAAAGATATTATGTACATAATATTGAAACATCCCATGTGCAATTTATTTGATGGGAGGTTCATAACAGCCTGATGGACATATGTAAATAAAGTCAACAATTCAAAGAAAGGAGCCATTTTTTACTGAAACGACCTCTACTGTACTCACCACACTCAACAGAATCCATTCATGTCCTTTTCGTGTCAAAATAGTGCAATCTTGGCCTAAAAATGAATGTTCACGTAACCCCTATGAAGGGCCTGCTAAATAAATTAGAAATGGGATGTTTCTTTGTGTTTGATTTAAAATAATAGTCATATTGGGGCCAGGGCCAGGGCCTAGGGGCTTCGAATGCTTGACCGTGGGACCCTCAAGTACACCGTGGAAAAGGGCCAAAGCTCTCAGCATAAAAAAAATCAGCAAAAATATTCAAGGAAAAATACAGACATGTGCTGGCCCCTTTTCTGACTTTTTGACCCCTAAAGGAGGTTGTAGGGTCACCAAACTTTTCCGCCCGATCGAGGGGGTCCCCTTGAGACAAAGATTTCGAATTCGGCATGATCGGAACCCTGCTAGTTGTTGCAGTTAAAACATCCCAATTCCAATGTATTCAGCAGTTTCGAGAACACACATAAATAAAATCTATTTTCCATAAGTATGAGTGATATTGTTGATGAAACCACCTCTACTGTACTCACCACACTCAGCAGAATACATTCATGTCCTTTTTGTGTCAAAACAGTGTAATATTTGCCTAAAAATTTATGTCCATGGAACCACTATGAAAGGCTTGCTAAATAAACTGTAAATGGGATGTTTCTTTATGTTTGATTTAAAATAACAGTCATATTGGGGCCAGGGCCTAGGGGCTTCGAATGTTTGACCTTGGGACCCTCACGTACCACGTGGAAAAGGGCCAAATTCCTCAGTGTTCGGGGAAGACCTTTAAAAAAAATCACCGAAAATATTCAAGGAAAAATACAGACATGCGCTGGCCCTTTTTCTGACCTTTTGACCCCTAAAGGAGGTCGTAGGGTAACCAAACTTTTCCGCCTGCTAGAGGGACCCCTGACGATACGCAAATGGCGCCCTCTAGCCGATCGGCCCTTTCACTAGGCTAAACCCATTCGAATAAGTGGCAAGTGGGATTTATTCAGAAAGGTCCCAGGGGCCCAAAACTCGGCACGGTGGCCCTGAGCGACGTCCCAAAGGCGCCGGGCCCTAGAGCCAAGGGAAAAGTTTGAGGTCTTCTGCACAGAATCTCTCCCTCAGCCCTCTTTGTCTCTTGCACAGTCAGAGCATTTCGAGTGCTTTCATGCTTAAGGAGAAGTGCTTTTGTTCGGAAGGTAGTACGGTATCGTGCTTCGGGGTCGTGAGCGAGGGGCCCCTGAGATGTGAGAATCTCGGATCTTTTGGCCCTATGTGCTATGGTCTCCGAATGGGGGATGTCCCTCTCCCCATTTAAGCGCTTTTTTGAAATGGGGTCAACATTTTTCTATGTACACAAAAGGCCTATTTCTCTCAAATATTGGTTACAAATCTGTCTAAATCTGTGCACTTCTCCTCTGCTGAGATAATCCATCCACCTCTTTCACTGTAATGTTGTTAAATAGAGAAAAACATTTTATATTCAAGTAACTAATAGCATAAATTTTAACCTTATTCTTAAAAAACACAAAATGACCATTAAGAAGGTTTCAAGCATCAAAAGCAGCCCATATTAAATCTATAAGCTGTCTTTAATTGAAAAATATGGATTTTCATGCATACTATATATATATATATATATATATATATATATATATATATATATATATATATATATATATATATATATAT